CCCAGGCCTAGGCCCTGCGTGACCGGGGGCCAGCTCTGCCTTGACGACTGAGACGATGATGGTGACGCTGACCGCGGCAGGGAATGATATGGCTGAGAGCAACTAACCGGAGGTTCCGAGAGTTGCTCAAAAAAAACGGGAGGTTCCTAGACTAAAAAAAACTAACTGGAGGTTATCCCTTGCGGGGATCCAGGGGTCACTTCTGGTGTTCTTAGAGCACGCCAAGTGGTATCTTATCTCCGAGTGAATCTCCTAGTAAATATAGCTTGACTTCAAGGGGTGTCTTATCTAGCAGAGACTATGTGTTTTGTGTTTCAGGTGCAACCTTCTAATTGGAATTGCCTCCGGTCTTGCATACCTCCACATCGAATATCGCAAGTCCATCGTGCATAGAGATATCAAGCCAGGTATTGTAATATGCTAGACACAGACTTCAATGCTAAACTGTCTGACTTTGGGCTGGTGAAACAAGTCAACCATACCCAAACCCCGCGCACGACGATGAATATAACTAGGACTCCGATCATACAACGCCCAACATATTTCGAGACCGGAAAGACATGTGGGCAGTCTGATGTGTACAACTTAGGCGTCATGTTGCTCGAGATTGTCTGCAGTGAAAAACCGACCATGCAGACTAGTGGCAAGAACAGCCTTATCAAGAAGGTCCTAAAATGTCAAGCGAACAATACAACTCTCTGTGCAGCTGACAAAGGGCTAAGGGCCCAATTTGACGGGGAACTCAAAAGTGTGTTGGAGATCGGGCTCATGTGTGTCAACCCGGATCGTCAGCGCCGTCCACACATCGGAAGAGTGAGAGATTTCTTGATGCAACTACTACCTTCGGTGTCCACACCAAACCCCACCATCCCTTGTGGAACAAATGGGAGGGGATCAACTAGCTCAACACATACCATGCGCATTCTCTGGCCGATGAAGAAGCCGGCGATTCACCACTTCTAGTCTAGCCTCAATATAAGGTACCCCCTCCAGCGAAGGCCTGCCAAATGATGTTTGTAATTTCCACAAAAAATGAAGTGAAGTTCGCCTTGGAAGATACTTCCTCCCTCTTGTTAATTGTATGTTTTATCCGTCCATTCACCCATCATGCATGCATGCATGTAGTATTACCTCTTTCTCCATATAATATGATGCGAAATTGTATTCAATGGCGGATCTAATGGTGCTGATTTGGTATTATAGATGTCGATAATTTTTTCTATAATTTGTTTTAAAATTTATGAAGTTTAACTTAAGACAATACTAATATGCAAAGTAAATCCGTAAAAAAGCATGCTAAGTACTCTGCTGATTTTCAAAGTAAATTGAAACGGCGGGGTATGAAAAATATCCATTTTCAAATCCAACCGATTTCATTAACCAAACCAAGGAAGCAGCGCACTGGATTTGCGCCGGCAATGTCTTTGATACATGTGCAAAATCGTCGTTAAAGCAATTTGTGTATGCATACACACAACGCAATAAAGGCAGTATACATATTGCAGCCAGAAGAACTTCGCGTACGCAGAGCATTGGCATCGAATCCAATATTACAGCAAAACCAGTAGGAGTGCATCACCAAATCAAGAAACATGGCACCATTTCCTCACCGGACAACAGTCCACCAGTCCCCAGATCGGCCGATCGATCAATGCATCAGATCGGCGAAGCTCGTGGATCACTTGTTGTTCATGAGCACCTTGACGAGCTCCTTGCACTGGACGCGGCCCTCGCCGCGGGGGTCGGCCTTGCGGACCAGCTCGTCGGCCTCCTCCTCCGTGAGCCGGTCGCCGTGGGTGAGCATCACCTGCCGCAGCTGCTCCGCGGGGATGACCCCGCTCCCGTCGTCGTCGAACGCGTCCAGGCACTGGGCCAGGCCCTTGGCCGACACGCCGGCGTTAGCCTTGCGCGCCGCGAAGGCCAGGAACGTGGGGAGGTCGACGGCGCCGGCGCCGCCCGCGCCCGCGTCCTCGAGGAAGCCCCGCGCCTCGTCCTCGTCCACGTTCTGGCCCAGCGAGCGGAGCGCCGTGACCAGCTCGCCGGCGGCGATGCGGCCGTCCTCGTCGCCGTCGAACAGGTCGAACACCTCCTTGCACTCGTCCGACTGCTCCTTGGTCAGCTTGGCCGCCATGGCGGGCAGAGACCAGAGAGAGCTGACCTGCTGAAGGGAGAGGGGATTTGGGAAGGAAATGGCCTAATTGCTGTCCGGGCTGTTGGTCATGATGAAGCAACTTAGCGAAGGTCGCTTTTCTTTTCTTTTGACAGGTCAAAAAGATTAGCAATGACAACTTTCCCTCTCTTGTTATTCTCCGAAGCAAATCGCAGTTCAGTTTTCAGCGCCTAGTCTGACGGTCGCTGCACATGACAGATGACACCAATGTTGAACTCTGCCATTTCAGCAGTTTTATTTATGATAAAAATAGCAATGGCTTATGCTTTGATAAAAACAACGGACATGTTGAAAAGGGAAAAATAATAGCTCAACGAGCTGGCACCAACCAGCCATGTCCCCAACAATTGATCATCATAGGCATAGCATTATTACTACTTCCATGCCATATTGTTGCCACACAAGAGCGACGTGCCATCCACCACATTTGGTTTCGTTCAATCATAAGATATGGTACAACTTGCAAATACCCACAGAGTACAGCAGGGAATCGCGGCATCAGGAGCAGTTCTTTTGACCGGCTTAAAAAATAAGCTGTCTCTCCTCAGCAGCCTCAGTGAATGAGGGAGGCGACTTATGGGAAAGCTGGGAACCAGGCCTTAGATTCCGACAATGCAGCTGTTGGATTCGCTGTAGTTCTGTTTCGTCGTCCAACATCTACAAGACGAATTTGCACCAGCGCAGTTCAGAGATCACTACCAGTCTACCACCAAGCATGCCAAATGGAATCCACAAAATGTACTTCCGGCCAGCATTTTGGAGCTGAACACAACCCAAGCATACAAGCAAACCGCAGGGCAAAACCGAGATTTGCACAAAGCCCCTAAATTCCATGATAAGACTAGAAACCAGGTAAATCCGATGCTGCTCCCCACGACTACACCGCTACAAGATAACCCGACCAGCTACCCAACAGGCAACAGTACTTAAAAAACATAGCACAAAATACAACCTTGCGAGTCTGTCTGGCATTCCATTCCAATCCACTTGAGAGCAAATTTTAAGCTTATTTCGTGGGAGGACACCCCCTGTCCCGCCACCTCACTTGGCCATCATGACCTTGACGAACTCCTCGTAGTTGATCTGGCCGTCGCCGTCCACGTCCGCCTCCCGGATCATCTCGTCCACCTCCTCGTCCGTCAGCTTCTCCCCGAGGTTGGTCATCACGTGGCGCAGCTCCGCCGCCGAGATGAAGCCGTTCTGGTCCTTGTCAAACACGCGGAACGCCTCCTTGAGCTCCTCCTCCGAGTCAGTGTCCTTCATCTTCCTCGCCATCAGGTTCAGGAACTCCGGGAAGTCGATGGTGCCGTTGCCGTCCGCGTCGACCTCGTTGATCATGTCCTGCAGCTCCGCCTCCGTGGGGTTCTGCCCGAGGGACCGCATCACGGTTCCGAGCTCCTTGGTGGTGATGCAACCTGCAGGAAATTCAGCATCAACAAGCATTTGTTATCTAGCGCTACGAAATAAAATAAGAGTGAGTTTACTAGGGATTTTAGATTGGTCTGTTCGCCGCATATAAAATACCCAATGTGCGACTAAGTTGTTGTTATTGTCCTAACAACACATGATATGTCATAATACCTCCAATCAGCATGTTGGCCACTTACACGCACCTATATATTGTTACTATAATGAGCTGCAAGTTGGAACAGCTGGGAATCGTAAACAAACATGGCTTTAAACAAGAACTGTATGCAGGATAAGCAGTAAGGATTAAATATTATAGGCCAGCTGGGTAACGTGAAGGGAACAATAAGATAGGTTAACTTGCCAGACGCTTTCCTAGAGTGTCATTTCAACATACTGAATTCTAGAAATCAATTTATGAATCATGCATCAGCTGAAGAAATGATGGACCGCCAGGCAGAAGCCTTAAGAAAGCAGTGCTTAGGTTTAGGCTCCGTTCGGTGCAAAGGAATTTTAAAGGAAAACTTGCAGGAATAAAAAATGAAGGAAAGTTCTCCCAAACTGCGTTCGGTGTGCAGGAATGAGCTCCTCAAGATCCAAAGGAAAGTTGCTGTAGCCTCCAGTTTTACAGGAAAGAAAACATCCGGTGCAAGCTCTTTTTTGGGGCGGAAGCACGAGGCAAAGTACAGGAAATCTTAGCTGGACCTGCATGCACCACCATTGCCTTGCTTTGTGTGACCCCACCACTGCCAGATGGACGCATCAACGAGTGGATGAGAAAATAGACCGACCATGCTTTGTACTAGTGGGACCTACAGATACCTTTGCCTTCCTTTGCTTTACCGAACACATCTTCTCAGCTTTCCTACAGACTTCTAATCTAGAGTTTTACCAGCCGATTCCCAGGACGTTCCTCTGTTTTTCAGTTTCCCACAGTTTTCTTAACCTTTGCAGCGAACGGAGCCTTAGCATATTTGGATTGTATCCTATCAAGTAAACAAAATGTAGTTCTTGCTGTCCATTTAACATATGAAATAAAAAAGTCAACCTACAATTCTACAAGTCATCATGTATACAATTAGATATGACACAGATCACAGACCAGACCAACTTGCATCTAAAGACATGCTGAAACATAGTCCTTTAATGTGCCAAGCAAGGAAATAACTATTAAATGATGCAGAAATGAGCTACGACACTAGGAAAAGAGGAGTCTACAAATCAAGTGTTGGTCTTAGACTACACAGTGAAGACTAGATCTCCAACTTCTAGGCTATCATCAGAAGCTAGATCATGCTGGTACTGTCACCAATAAGTCTTTTCAATGAGAAATCCTGACTAAATCCTTGACATTCTACTGGTACATCACAGCCAGATCAACCTCCAATTCTCCATCTAGTCCACTCGTTGGTTTTCCACAATTGTAACCAAACAGAAGCTCGTTGACCTAGATAACTTGACCCTTTCTTCACACCACTTCATGACAACAACCTAATTCTCATCTCTGCCACTAGAAATTCCAAAACACTCTACAGCTCTAAACCCTAGCTCCTAGATGCAACCAGTAGCTGCCGCCCCCGAGTTGTTCCTACCACAGCACCCCGAAATCCTACAAGTCGGAAATCCACCTTAACAGAGCAATCCGCCCGCAGCCCGCCGCGAGCAAACGACCCCATCAGATGCAAGCATCCATCCCGCGCAGGCCTAGAACAACAGCAAAGGCCTGAAAAGGCCACGCAACCCAGGCATCACCGACCGGATCTAGAGCCCTGCCCACAGCGCCCCCAGACAAAACCCAATTCGGCCGGATCGAGCCCGGGCGGCGCCCGATCCGGCCGGCCGCGGGAGACAGGGGAGAGAGGGGAAAGGGGGTTACCGTCGCCATCCTTGTCGAAGAGGCTGAAGGCCTCCTTGAACTCGGCGATCTGCTCGTCGGTCAGCTGGTCCGCCATGAGGGAGGGAGGAGGCTTCGAGAAGGTGCGCACAGGACACGGGGGCGGCTGCGCCGGAGGGGAATAAACGGGGCGCGGTGGTTGGCGTTCCTGTCCGTGCCCCCGTCCGTGGGCTGGGTTTTATAGACCGCTAGCGATTAACGAGGGGGAAGGTTTGCTCGAACCGCCGGTTTTGTATCCGGTTCCCCTTTCCTTTTCTTTTCCCCCTTCCTTTTTCCTTTTTCCTTCCTTGGATCCTTGGCAATCTACGGTTCCATTCATACTCGATTGTGCACGATGGTTTCCATGTTTATATTTTTGTGTGCATTTTAGGATTCTATACTTTAGGCTCCATTGAGTTATGAGGTTTCCATGTTAATAAAGACTTAACAATGAGAGTTGAGAGCGGTGGCCGCCATGATGAGAGTTGATACATGACAGCCATGAAAGATTGTCCCTATTATTTATCATATCAACAATGATGAAAAGTGTTATGGTGTATGAAGCATCCCAAAGGACATAGAGAGCCAAGGAAAAGAGAACGACAAGTGTGCTGCAAAGGAAAAAAAGCACACAGAAAGGCACATGTATAAATATTTTGAAAGTATAATCAAGTGGAACATATATGCCAATAACTATAGAGGAAAATACTTCCTTCGGCCCATATTTTCTTTTTTGAACCCTGAAATAAATCCAGGAATAAATACGAGCACCAGGATTTAAATCCTGGTGGTTGGGATATCACAGTCCCTCTAACCATCCAACCACAGGTTGGTTCGCTCCTTCGTCCCATATTGTTTAGTACTCCCTCCGTCCGAAAATACTTGTCATAAAAATGGATAAAAAAGGATGTATCTAGAACTAAAATACGTCTATCCGAAAATACTTGTCATCAAAATGGATAAAAAAGGATGTATCTAGAACTAAAATACGTCTAGATACATCCTCTTTTATTCATTTTGATGACAAGTATTTCCGGACGGAGGGAGTACAATGTTGTACTAAATCAACGACAGGTTTATTTCAAAAAAAAATCAACGACAAGTAATATGGGTCAGAGGGACTATAAATGTTTTTTGTTTTTCTTGTTGGTTTTCGTTACTCGCAACAATTTACAATTATACTCTCTTTCGTTTCAGCGCCATGTCGCACATAACCTGTGCATCCACCGGACCGGGCTATTTCAGGCCGGGCTTTACAAAGCCCGACCTCGAAATCCCAATCCCGAGCCCGACCTGGTCCGAAGCACATAAACATCGCACTTTTGAAATTAAAATGATAATTTCAGAATATTTAAATGATATAATATACTAATATTTCTAGTAAAGTAGTCATTTATGCCATGTTTGGGCTTTTTTCGTGCTTTCGGATTGGGCTTCGGTCGGAAAAGCTGAGCCGAACCCGACCAAGCTATCTGGGTCGGGCTGCCCATGCCCGGGTCTAGTTGCACATAATGGAGCTCCGTTAACCAAACAACTAGCAAGATTAGAGCATCTACAGTCGGACATCTCAAACCATCCCTCTTAAACCCGCGGATGCGCCCTGCAGTGACCGAACAGGAGAGAGAAAGAATCCCTCATATTATCCCTGTACGCCATGGTTGTCCCGAACCCTCATATCCATATCAAATATGGGGAGGATATGTGGGCTCGCGGACGCGCCTGGGCATTCCGCCACATATGATGCGGCCCCACCTCAGACCACCTTTTCTTTTTCTTTATTCATTTTTTTGTTTCTCTCTCTTCATCTCCATCAATCACGTGCAAGTGATCGGACATATGAAAAAAAAATAGAGGACTATGGATGCGCGGACAGATAAATAGGGGCTCAAAACGGACAGGCACCGGTCGCGTCCGCGGGTGTTTAAGGGGTCATATTTGTTATGTCCAGCTGTAGATGCTCTTACATGTTTCATTGATGTAGGGAAAGTATTTGATGCACTAGGGCTTGCGATGCACTTTTCCAGTGTATAATTTGTCTATTCAATGAGTATTGGTTTGAAATGTTGTGACTCGTTAGATACTACGAATTTGCTCCCGTCTAGAATTAATTAGTTTCCCCTTTTCATTCTTCAATTTTTTCCTGTTCATTTTCTTCTTTTTCTCTTGCCGGAGACTGACATAATAAATCAACTCATTGCGGTCCGTTGTTTTTCCTCTTCAAAGTCACAACAAAGTCGCCGTACTAAATGGGACGATGTGATCGGTATTTATCTCAAGCCTTGCGAGGAGGGAAGAGGCGGACGAGTCAAGGCGATGGAGCTAGCAAGCCGGACCAGGTCACTGCTCCGTCACCGTCAGATCAGACACCAGTCCATCGCTCACATCACAGGAGCAAGCATACGGGCATTTTTCGCGTCTCGCGATGAAAAGGCCCGTGGGCTTATTTCGCGGAGAGATCAGCTGAGTGAAGACTATCTGACATCTAAATTTGTCTCAAAAAAGAAAAAACTGACCTCTTAATACCATGTAGAAGACAAAATCTGGCCTCTGATTGCTTGGAGAACCGGAGCTTTGTCCAAAGCAGCTTGTTTCTTGTCAGAACAGCAAAGTATCATCCGTTCAGACCTTTTTTTTTTTCATTTTGTCTCTCTCTAAGAAATGTTCCTTTTTTTGGTATACAGTTTATTTTGTCACTGCCCAAGTTCATTCAGAAAAGAAAAGAGGAAAAAATTCCCCGTCGTCACAGTTATCAGAAGACGGGGTTCAGAAAAGAAAACGAGTTATTCCCATCGTCACAATGTAGGAAGATGATTGGTCACAGAAGATCTTCCACGGGATTAAAGCTCCAACCGTCCCTGTCGCTGTTGAGCCTTTTGACAAATGCGGCTAAGCTTTGTGATGGCGAGACGCTACCATTCTTCCCTGGCGGTCTCTTTTTGTATGAGCATCCACATCACATGTGTTTGGATGGAATTCTTTTCTTCCAGTGTCTTGGTTACCTACGCCTCCCAACAACACATTGGCGTCTCAACTTTGTCCATCCTACCGAACTGCTCACACCTACCAGTTCACTCAAAAGTTCAAGACAAAAATAAAATGCAGACAACATATCCAACACAAACAAGACGACTGGATTAATATCTGACACGACAGATCACAAGACAAGAGCAGGCATTTTCACAACACTCCCTCTTGTTTCATTTCGCCGGACTCCAGATGGTTCAAACCCCACATC